TAATATTTACTGCTTTTTACTGCCTGGCGTTTTTGTATGCAAAAACTTGCAAGAAACCAACCAACTATAAATTTACACCACATTTTCATGATATGCTTTTGATATTATATTCGTTTGAATCATTTTAAATGAGACCTATATTGATGTTTATTTTTAGAAAAAATTTCAAAGTAATTCTGTATATACTGTTATTAAGAAACTGTCCACCTACGTGTGCCTTCTTCCGTTATTTAAAGGCGAGGTTTAGGATCCTTCAAAACACATTTCAAGCTGAAACCTTCAACAGTTAGCTATAGGTAAAAATCTGTTAGTTTGATCGATAACACAAATTTACTTAATTTCATTTCTCGTTGAGCAATACCATCAACTTTTAAACTTTACAATTGCGAATTACAAATAAATTTACAAAAAGTAGTACATGAAAAAATTAAACGGACGAATTCGTAAGTATACAATTTTGAAAGTGCCCAACGCCGCCCGCGCCGCTTTCGACATCACGCTCGCGTCCCCCACCCCCTCCCCTCCTTTCGCAGTAATGCACTGGTGGCATTATAACCGTTTAGAGAAAAGAAGAATAATAAAATGAGACTATTTCGCTTCTGAAACTGCTTTTTAATGGCCAAGTAATTGGAATTATTGCGTATGGTGTTATTGCATGCACCCCACCCATGCACATTAGGTCAAATGATTACTTTTTCTGTGCGAAATTAATAGCAGCTAAAATATTGCATTATTTTAATGTAAAAAGATGGCAAACGTTAAAACAAGTGTAAAGGCAGTAAATCAAATGTTAAACAAACTTGGCTTTCGTAAAACAGACTTTTCTGCTTTTTTGTATGTTCAAATGATGAGTATATGTGTTTAGGTAGTACTCAAAAACATTGTCCAATTAGCTTGGTTTTGACACAAGTTATTTTCTTACCATACTCAACCCCCTCCCCTTTAAAATGAGCTACATAATAAAATAAGTATGGTCACATGTACATAAATGGTTTCTTCTAGCGATTAGTTATGGCATTATCGAAATTCCAAAATTAAAAAAAGAAAAATATTTACTACATGTCTCGCAGATATATCTTGAGGAGAGATTCCTAAAGCAGTTAGTCTTCATAAAACACTTCGTTTTCACTTGTGGTTTCAGTATTTCCAAATTCTCCACCGATATTATCTATTACAAATGCTGCTTTGTGACACATTTACCGAAAATCGCTGGTAACTTCCTGAAAAGAATACGAATGTTTATATAACTAATTTGTTAAAAGAATGTTCAAAGCTCTATTCACTTTGAGTAAAAAAAAATCGAGATTTCAGTCCGTAAGTTCTCTCAAGCTTTTGCCTTTTTGCGAAGGCGCTAGTGTATTTGTAACATAGCCTCGGCTACGCTACAGAAGATGAAATGTAATCCAAATTGAGGCTGCTATTTTTGTTTGCTATCACATACTTCCATTTTTACTATTTATCACCACTAAAATGGATTATTTATCACCAAAAAATGTTGGAGATATTTTTGGAGATAGCTAAAAATTCGGAAAAAGGTTAGCTATCCTATTTTAGCACTTTAGCGATAGCGAAAGTTAGAATCCGGCTGATGGTCGACACAGTTGGCTTTTCGATTTCGAAAAGAACCTCATCAACAAGAAACGCTATGTTTTTAGATCTAAATATTTTAGCATCCTTTCCAAATTGTTTCCCATAATTTTCATATTTATTTGATAAATAATTGTAAAAAATACGCGTTTTTTTTCTAAGAGTTTCATGGAACTTTCGCAAATATCAGCAGCGCCAAATTTTTTTTCAACATGGTTGACAACCGAAAAAGGCTTTTCTTTTTCCAATCAGCCAAACTTTAAACAACTTGCCTTTTGTGATAGCATGATAGCCCAGAAAAAGACCGTTTTTCTTGAAAACGGCTAAAAACGGCAAGTTAAGTAAAACAAATTCAACTCATTACATCTTATTTTATGCATTTCCGATTCCATTTTGTTTGCCGAAAGTTAACAAAATTGTAAAAGCTTACATAAAATCATAAATGGAAATAAATCAGAAAATTTTTGAGGTTATGCAAATAAGTCAGTTTATTTGCAAACAAATGATAAAAAGTAACTTTTTTAAATTGGGACATAGGTTCTCACTTAGATATAGTTTTGTTTCCCATTTAAAATTATCCTTTATTTATTCGAACTTTGCAAAAACAATGCACTTGAAATTTACAAAATAAACCGGTTGCGCAAACAACGTATCAGTAACGTTTTGAAAGTGTAAATTTGGTTTATTACTGTATAACGGTGTTTTTTATTTTACAAAAACTAAGTGAAGTTTCTGTTATTTTGGAGTATTCCCTACAGAATGGCAACAAAAAATAATGTAAAACTGCCTTTACGAAATCGGACTTTCGCACAGCCAAATGTATCATTTGACCTAATGTGCCATGGTGGAATTATACCAGGTGAAGTAATTAGAGTGAGAAGAAAGATTTTGGCACTGGCTTATTTGGAAATCTTCCAATAAAATTTGACGATAAGGCAGTCGAATGTCAGAAAATAATGCGAGAAAGCTGTTTTATTATTTCACCTCTTTATTGTGACATGGTTCCATGCAAATATTTTAAGATTTTCCAGCAATTATTCCAACATATCAAAGAGCATGCAGATAAAATTCACACAAAAGCGCAATGTCCAATTTTGTGAATATTGCTCTCTTATGAATTATATCAATTTTTTTATTTTTATTTTGTAATAAACAATGTTTTTTCTCTGTCAGTAAACTGTTTTTGTTACAAATAGTATAAATAAGCAATGGGAAATAAGGCAAAATTTGTTTTATATCCAACCTTTGTGGGAAATAAAGCAAAACTCAGATGTTGGTATTATTTCTCATTTAAAAGAGAATAAAGCAAAATCGGTACGAATGGTCGCACTGTGTATGCCCCTTATCTCATTACGGGAACGTTTGCATCTTAACCCTTTCCGGTCAAATCGGTCTCTGATGAATATAAAATTGTTTCCTCTTAATTACAAGGTCCATAGAGCCTCATAATCCCAAAAGTAAAAAAAAAAATATTCAAAAGTTGTTTTGGGTAGCTATTAGGGCTACCTCAAATTGGTGCAATAAATATATTGCACACAAGTAAAGCAAAGGAGTAAGAGCACTCAAGAAAACTCAATAAAAATTTCACTAAGTTTGACGGAATAAAACTTTTATTTCATTGAAAATGAACTTATGTATGTACAAAATAATTGATTTTATCGCAGATATGTGGAAATTAATATTTCGTATCTTTTTAAGTATCCTTAGTTAAGATTTGCATTAAAAAATTTTAAATTTTCTCCATGAGAAGAGAATTATATAAAGAAATTTTGAGAAATTTCAGATACAATTTCAATATAAAATACAAGTGACTCGTTTTAATAAACCTTTCCGGTTTTTCCTGCCTTCAGTAGATCAAGAAATCAAAAACCTACGCTTACTGCAACAACAGCGCACAAGCTCTTCAAAATCCACCCTAATTGCCTGTTCAACTGCAACCTTTGCGGACGTTTGTACAATATATTGTACAATACACTTACACACTTTCAGTGTAAATGTACAATACACTTACAAACTTTCAGTGTAAATGTACAATATATTGTAAAATATTTTAAATCAAGATAGTTTAATTTTAGCATCTTTATATGATGAAATGCTTTTTATATTTCCATACTATGTGCTTTTATTAGCGATTTTATTTGACTTTCACGTATTTTTTGTACAGTAAATCACCACAACTTGCGTGGCACTGGAATTTTATAAAATGGTCTATTTTTAAATTGAATTCTAAAAATATTTTTGAAACATTTTCGATTTTGAAATTTACGTAAACTATTCGGAACATTCCAAAAATTCATAAAGTTTAATTTGTTTTCAAAAATATTAATAAGATTTTTAGTAGCACGTTTCCAATGTTACAAAAAATTAAATGTTCAATCTATTGTTCAGACGCAGAGAAAGGGTTAAGCGTACTTTACCGCATACTTCTTATATTTTTATGTTATTTATTTAACTGAGATTGAAAAAAAACATCAAAATTATAACAACGGGAAATTCTGTACCGTTCGCAATTATTTGCAAGCAAAAGCCTTACTTAAAAAAAAAAAACGGAGGGCATATCCGAACTCACCGATCCAGATATGTCCAAGGATTATGGATGCCGTTTTTGCCTTTTTCTGAAAAAAAGCGTTTTTGTTGGCCTGTGGTATTGGATAAATAAGTATGTCACGAGAATGATTCTAAAATAAGTGCAGTTAGTCATTTTTACATTATTACAAACTTTCGTGTTTCGTTTTATTATTTGGCAGAAGCACACACCGAGGATCTTTGACCTCTTTTACTATGCAAATACTCCTCTTCGAGTTGGCGAAAATGTTTACATGATCTGTTATGAATATCATAAAATATTATTAAACATAAACTTGTGCAAAAAGGGATTTACATTGAAAATTAAAATAAACAAAAAGATGGGTTTATTATGCCTCAATTGGAAAGCTCCTTTGATGATATTTTATGCTGACGATAGTCCCCAGACAGCGTCTCTATGAAATTAACTCCTCGATTTCCTCTTGAAGTGTCTTATAAACTTACAGCAGGAAAAGAACTACCTACATACGTTTAAATGAGATTCTTTACTTTAATCAAATATCTAATAAACTAAATGGGGGATTTTCCGTGGGAGCAACACAAACTAACTACATTTTCTTAACAGGTAACAACTACCGCCGGACAACCTTATACTAAAATGGGCATTCCCCCCAATCATTGAACTTGAAATCGGTTGCTTGTAGAAAAAAATGTTTGTTATTGAACTTCTTTTACTAAAAAATAAATAAAAATGTACAAGTATTTACACTCAATTGGCATTGCGCATAATGCATATATTTGTATATGTCTATGTACATACTTTATATTGTTCAAAGACCTGAATTTAATTAATGTTTTATTTTATTTTATTTACTTTCAGTGTTAATTCCGGTAACTGACATAAATTGACGTCTTTTTGTGCGAAAAAATGAATGCTAAATGCAACAACCAAGCGTTAGCGCCTAGAAGCAGATAACGAAAAACGAAAATTTAAAACGAATTGCTTGTGTATATATAGAGTGTGAAGGGTAAAAATGTCACGTGTATATATAAGCAAAATATTTATTTGGGTATAGTTCTAAATAAATTGTGCTAAAGCATAGTGTCGGAAAAGCAGCGGGTCGGTGTAGTAAAACGGAAGTTTGTAAAAACAGTATTTGTGAAGTGAATGTGAAAAAAATTGCAACAAAAAACGTGTAAAGCAGTCACGGGTCCAAGTTTAAAAAGTCGTTTGTTAAATTAGTGTGTCGATAATTTGTGATTATTTGAATTGGAAGGGCCTAGTCTTTCGCTTCCCAAGTCGTTCTCAAAAAAAACAAAAAAAAAAAAAAAACTAATCAATCAACTTCCTATTTCATGGAATAGCTAACACGAAAGAGAAAAGGAAACGAAAAAGTTAGCCCACGTCCGTTAAATATAGACTTTTTTTGAACACACACAAATAAAGGCGCAACCATTTACGTGTTTCTGCTACTTTAGCGCTTCCGAATGCCATGATTTATCAGCATGTGGACGTATATGATGGCCGCCAGCCGTGGAGAACGGGCGAGCATGATGATGTCCGCATCGAGACGTCGCAATGAGAGTGAATCACCGAAATATGGTTACAAGTAAGTGATAAGTAAAGCCATGTTGTGTGCTCATGATGCAATAATAAAAGGTGTTGTCCGTTGGCAACTTCTGGCACTAATTCGTCATCTTAAGCTACCTTAGAAAATGTAGTCTATTTGCCTACTAAAAAATAATACTCTTATAAGCAAAAAGCGAAATTTGTGTCTGTAGAGAAGTAAAAAAAAATATTTGTCAAATACACAATGCATTTTCGCATTAAGCGACTAAGCTGATAAATAACGCAGAAAACTTAAAATATACGAGCATTGTTGCTGCTTCTTTTATCATAAATTTCATTTCAGAAGCTGTGAGTTATAGATATTTTTACATACATACATACACAGGTGTACACAATTTTCCAATTTCTGCAAATAAAACTTTAACGAGCACACAAAGAAATCCATAATATTAAATAAATAGTACAGGCGACAGAGATTAAAAATCAGTCGGGTGTGAGACTATTTCGGACCATGCAACTTTTTTTATCAGATTCTATGAACAGTCAGCCTGAAACTGAACTATGCAGGACAAGTAAAAGCATTTTTATGTTTTTTTTTATAATTATTCGAACAAATATGATAAACGTGAGAGAGGTTTTTGATATATTTTAAAATTTTGGGGTGTTGAGCTGTAAAAGAGATAAGACAACTAAAATTTCCTTATCTTCGCCCTTAGCCAAACGAGTTTATATTTATTTCAACAATCGGATGAGAAAAGGCAGCGTTATTGTTAAGGCAAAGGGGCAATTCTCAGAAATTTCGAATTTTTGTGTGAAATTTTTTTTATTTTTAAATCGCGAGCACATGTCTGAACTCTATAGTGTACGTTCCCTCAGCTGCTAGAATATAAAATCCAACTGGGTGCAACGTTTTGACGTGATTTTTATGAAATTAAAGCTGATTACATAACAGACGCGATAAGACTCTGTGGAAAAAATATGAAAGTTCTGCAAAGTTTGTCCAAAATTTCTAACTTTTTGATTAGCGTCTTTAGACAAAATTTTGGTATTCAGCTTTGTAGCTCATAAAATTTTTGCAAGCAAAGTGGAAATTTTGAGTATTTTGGATTTAGAGTAGATTTTTGGCAATTTTTTTTGTTGAGGGTACTCCGCAAGTTTTTCGAATATAAAAAATTTCGAACATAAATTGCTAAAAATTTAAGGTAAGTCGCCAATAAAGTGGTGCACGAGGTTCATAGTTCAATAGTATATTGTACAATAGAGCACACACGTATTTGGCTAAATAAGTTTTTTTAACTATCTTCTACACGTCTAGATTGATTCCTTTAATGCTCCAGAACACTATAAAGGTTGTCCGATAACAGTTTTACGTACGCACCAGCTACAGTACACTATAAAAGCCGCGAGTGTCAGAATAAAAAAAGGATTCACGCCACTTCTTTATCACTTCTTTGCTATTGCAAGCACATACTTCTAACATGCTGCATTCGTTTCCCCTCTCCAAATACTACCAGCTAATTATAAACCGTAACATGAGCATTCAACGCACCAATTTTTGCATCGTGAAAATAAAAAAATTATAGGAGAGTCACGCTTTTATTTGTGATAATTTCGCAATTTTATTATATGTATATTTGGCTGGAAAATATGTACGGTGATCCTTTTTTGGCATTTACATATTCTATGCAACATACGTAACCTGATTTTTGTTAACAATACAGGGTGGGCCAAATAAGACCTACCAATGAAAAACAACCAGCTCCAGTTACACCCATCAAGATGACCCAAATAGGTGTTATGGCCGAAAAGTAGTCGGCCCATATTTTTTCGAGAATGATGATGAGACACCAGAAACGATTTCTGGGGCTTCTTACAGAACAATGACTTTTTGTGGCCAACGGCAGAACAGCATCCTAATTTGTGGTTCCAACAGGATGGAGTGACTACGCACACTGCTAGGCAAACTACGGACCTATGAACTCTGGATTGTAGGTGTTATTTGGCCCACCCTGTAGTACAAATTTTCGTCGAAATCAAATTTGGATCCACCATAACTATATTACTTCTCAGCCGATTCTTTTTAGTATGCCGGTGATATTAAGATACTTTTTATTGAGAATTTTATGACAAAGAAGATGTAAAAAAGTCCGATAGGCAATACTTTTCACCAATAGAATGCATTTTTAGATTATTTTTACAGACTTTCATGTTGACTGTTCATAGAATCCGATAAAAAAATTGCATGGTCCGAATTAGTTCTACTAGGAAACCTCGACTACAAAAGATTGTGTTTAAATAAATAAATTTTGTCATTTAATAACAAACAAAAATCTCGTAATATATACCGCTTTCATAAATAATTCTTACCATAATAAATAATCTGTGTCAAAAAAGTTAAGCTACTCATAATTATTGATACATCCATACATAAATCTGATACCAAAAAGAGCACTCAATTTAGTACTTTTTTAGGAAATGCCACGTATTTCCTATTCTCTTTCGAGCTCCCAAGAAACAACCTTAAGCTGCGCACATAATCTTTTAAAATTGCATTATACCTTTGGCATAGCTTTGGGCGCACCACCTCACCAAAGCATTTAGCATATTTTTAAAAGATTTGGAATGCAATTTCATTTAATCTGTTGTTTTATTTTGCCTTTCATTTCTCTAGTTTCGGCCGTTCAATGCCCTACCGTTCGACTGCTCGCCACAATGTGCTGTCACTGCACTCGACGAGCTCAACACTTCCGCCCGGCGCCTATACGCCATACGCGTCCACCTCCAACACAATGCCCTACTATGAGTCGCATCACCAAAGTGGTAGCCATACCGCCGCCGATGCAAACCTGCCAAGCGCTAGCACTAGTGCCGCTTCCACAGTCAGTCCGCCGCCATTTCATACGTACGCCGCCGGCGCTGCACTGCAACGACTGCCGCCACATAATAGCCACCATCATATCGGACATGCAACGGCAGCGATAGATGAGGATGGCACCAGCCTCTTTTCGCCCCTCTCACCGTGCACGCCGCTCACCGTCGCTGCCGACAAGGACACACACATATTCGTATACAAGGGCGCGAAAGCGAAAACGACACGTAAACGCCTAATAGCCAATCATGTTGGTGAAATGATGCGTGACGAG